ACCATATTTGACTGAATTCCCGTAAACCAGATTTTTGCTGAAATTGTGACCCCGGGGCTTAGGCATTTTTTCAAAAAAATCTTTTTCCACCGGTTAAGTTGTCAAGGGCTGATTTCTTGTCCTGTGATAAAAAGGCTTCTGTTTCCATCGCCAAAGCTTTCAGGGGAGCATTTGCAAGCGTTTGGCACCATTTTTGAGTGAATTCTCAAAAGTCAGATTTTTGCTGAAATTGTGACCCCAGGGCTTAGGGGTTTTTTCCAAAAAAAAATTTTTCGCGCTTAAGTTCCTGAAGGCTGATTTCTTGTCCTGTGATAAGAAGCCTTCTGTTCCGACTGCCAAACCTTTCAGGGGAGCATCTGCAAGAGTTTGGCACCATTTTTGAGTGAATTCCCAAAAGTCAGATTTTTGCTAAAATTGTGACCCCGGGGCTTAGGGATTTTTTCAAAAAAATCTTTTTCCACCGGTTAAGTTGTCGAGGGCTGATTTCTTGTCCTGTGATAAAAAGCCTTCTGTTTCCATTGCCAAAGCTTTCAGGGGAGAATTTGCAACCGGTTGGCACCATTTTTGAGTGAACGGTCAAAAGTCAGATTTTGGCTGAAATTGTGACCCCGGGCCTTAGGGATTTTTTCAAAAAAATCTTTTTCCGCCGGTTAAGTTGTCGAGGGCTGATTTCTTGTCCTGTGATAAAAAGCCTTCTGTTTCGTCGGCCAAAGCTTTCAGCATTTGCAAGCGCTTGGCACCATATTTGACTGAATTCCCGAAAGTCAGATTTTTGCTGAAATTCTGACCCCCGGGCTTAGGGATTTTTTCTAAAAAAAACTTTTTCTGCGGGTTAAGTTGTTGAGGGTAGATTTCTTGTCCTGTGATAAAAACCTTCTGTTTCCATCGGCAAAGCTTTCAGGGGAGCATTTGCAACCGGTTGGCACCATTTTTGAGTGAATGGTCAAAAGTCAGATTTTTGCAGAAACTGTGACCACGGGGGCTTAGGGATTTTTTCAAAAAATTCTTTTTCCACCAGTTAAGTTGTCGAGGGCTGATTTCTTGTCCTGTGATAAAAAAGCCTTCTCTTTCCATCGCCAAAGCTTTCAGGGGAGCATTTGGAAGCGTTTGGCACCATTTTTGAGTGAATTGCGAAAAGTCAGATTTTGGCTGAAATTGGGACCCCAGGCTTAGGGGGTTTTTTCAAAAAAAATCTATTTCCGCCGGTTAACTTGTTGTGGGCTGATTTCTTGTCCTGTGATAAAAAGCCTTCTGTTTCCATCGCCAAACCTTTCAGGGGAGCATCTGCAAGCGTTTGGCACCATATCTGACTCGAATTCCGAAAGTCAGATTTTTGCTGAAGTTGTCACCCCGGGGCTTAGGGATGTTTTCAAAAAACCTCCAACTCCTGCCATAGGCCTGCCAGGCCTGCACACCTATGCTCGGGTTTTGGGTTGTTGTTTTGTTAATTCCTTTGCCACTCTTTCCATCTTTCACTCTCTTCCAGATTGTGCAAATTGGGCCTGGGCAGGCCTCTTCGTCCAGTTTTATACCTGCTAGTGGGATTGACAAAGCTGCCTCTGATTGGTTGAAAAGGCATTCTGGGATTGACAAGGCATCTGACCCTCCCCTTCATTTCATAGCTCACCTATTAAGCAATTAACCAACTCTAGGCCAAACCCATCAGGAATGAGAACAGAAATCATGCTCCGGTGGTGCGGCGGCAGCAGGAGGCCCCATTAGCTAAAGTGGTGCTTCAGGTTAAGAACAGTTTCAGGTTAAGAATGGACTTCCAGAATGAATTAATTACGTAACCAGAGGTACCACTGTAGAGGCATGGAAAGGCCATATGGTTCAACCTTGTAAGCAACCAGATATTCACAACAGAAAATATAATCTGGGGACCACAGCTGAGGATCTGCCAAGCTTTCAACATCTGTGGACAAGTCAAGCCAGGGAGCCCAGCCACATGCACCAGTGACAACAACAACAACAACAACAACAACAACAACAACAACAACAATATTTCTATGCCACTCATCTCCTCTGGGCCTCGGATCTCCTCCTACCTTCAGAGTTCCTTCTCATGGTCACTGATGGGCATACTTGATCCTACTACTAGACTTCTGATCCTGAAGAGCTGCCCAGCCCAGCTTCAGGTCCCCCACCAAGTGCCCCCCTTCTAGAACCCACCACTCTCAACTGACTCTAAACAGCCTCCCCCCAACATTCCTAAACAGCCTCCCCCCCAACATTCACTCTCCCTTTCTAAGCCTCCTGCAACCTTCCGTCTCCGCCAGAATTCCACTCTCTCTCTTCCCCCCTCCCTCCCTGCTTGACATTCACTTGGGAATTCTAATAGACTCACCTTAATTACCCTATTGCGAAAACAGAGGAAGAGGTTACAGATGGGAAATGTCCAGGGATCCCAAAATCTAAACTCACAGACGCTGACTTCTGTCTTGCAGGAGGACTCAGGATCCACCTTGGACCTCAACCTTTCCCTGTTCCCTCCCTGTGTCAAATTAAAGATTGTAAGCCCCTCAGGGCAGGAACCTCTTTCTCAAGGGTCACACGCAGTGGTGGTGCAAACAAATAACACAAAATAAATCTCGCTACGCTCCTGCCCCATACAAGATGAAGCCCACAAGATGCCGTTCCCTTAAAACCAAAGGATCCATTGGGGGCCCCTGCAGCATGAAAAGGGGCTAAGTCCCCAGAGCTGCATTTCTGAGAGGCAGGGACCTGGGAAGCTATCTACAGCTGTCGACAAGTCAAGTCAGGGAGTCAAGCCACATGCATCAGTGATGGGTGATGCTGATAATGAGGATGAGGATAATAATAATAAAAATTCTATGCCACTCCTCTCCTCTGGGCCTCGTGCTCCTCCTACCTTCACAGTTCCTATTCATAATCAGTGATGGGCAAGGATCTTGCCAAGTCTCTCACCATCATCTGACAGGCATCCCTCTTGCAGGACCATATAAGGCTTGCTTGCAAAGCAGCTCTTTGTGACATCAGCTGGCACACAGGGGCCAGGCAGATGGGTTGCCAGGCAGCTGAATTAATACAAATAAAATCAGGGGGGTCAAAGTGTGCTGGGATGAGGCCACCGTGGGTCTGGCCATAGTGTGCTGCTGCGGTGTGTGGTTGTGCCTCCCCTGGTTCCGCATCTTGCTCCCCTGCCCCTTCCTTTAGCTGCTGGATAGAATCATAGCATGGCAGAGTTGGAAGGTATCCCAAGGGTCATCTAGTCCAACCCCTGGCAATGCCAGGATCCTACCCACAGCCAGTCCTGACTGGGCTCCAAACTCCGACCTTCTTCTTACCAGCCAGATGCACTGACCCCTTGCAATTCTGCCAATACTTTTTATTGCTTTTTTGTAACAACAACAAATAAAACAAATACTCTTGCATTCAAAAATTTATATGTCTTCTTATTTACCCTGCGCCTTATTGCACCCAGACTTCCTTCCATCCCTTCAACAGTTTTCATGTCTCAAGTCTTTTCTTGCAGTTTCTTATTTACCATACACTCCACCCACATCACAGATTTACATTAATCCTGCTACAGTTTTTAAATTCTTACAATTACTCCGTATATATTCAACAAATTTACTCCAATCCTTTTCGAACTTTGCATCTTTTTGATTCCGAATCTTATAAGTCAATTTCGCCAATTCTATGTATTCAAACATTTTTGTCTGCCACTCCATTAAAGTTGGGATTGCAATTCTGCATGGGGTGGAGAAAGGGGAGAGAGAAACCTTTTGCTCTCTCTCTCTCAGGACATGGATATGAGAGCCACACCATGCAGCCCTGTCAATATCTCAAGGGCCGTCACCGGGAGGAGGGAAGAAGCTTGTTTTCTCCTGCTCCAGAGGCCCTCAGGACCTGAAGCCGTGGCTTCAAGTTACAGGAAAGGAGATTCCAACTCAACTTCAGGAAGAACTTTCTGACAGGAAGAACTGCAATGGGGTAAATTGGAATTTGGACTGAAGCCGAAGGCTATCGGTCTGCATCTTCCTGGCATAATTTAAATCCCTCTGGTCTCTGAATTTAACCTCTGGAGCAAATAAATACAGTATGAATTTGTTGTTTAGTCGTTTAGTCGTGTCCCACTCTTCGTGACTCCATGGACCAGAACACGCCAGGCACTTCTGTCTCCCACTGTCTCCAGCAGTTTGGTCAAACTCACACTGGTAGCTTCGAGAACACTATCCAACCATCTCGTCCTCTGTTGTCCCCTTCTCCTTGTGCCCTCCATTTTTCCCAACATCGGGGTCTTTTCCAGGGAGTCTTCTCTTCTCATGAAGTATTGGAGCCTCAGCTTCACGATCTGTCCTTCCCATGAGCACTCAGGGCTGATTTCCTTAAGAATGGATAGATTTGATCTTCTTGCAGTCCATGGGACTCTCAAGAGTCTCCTCCAGCACCATAATTCAAAAGCATCAATTCTTCGGTGATCAGCCTTCTTTATGGTCCAGCTCTCACTTCCATACATCACCACTGGGAAAACCATAGCTTTAACTATACGGACCTTTGTTGGCAAGGTGATGTCTCTGCTTTTTAAGATGCTGTCTAGCACCCTCGCAATGGGGTAAATTGGAATTTGGACTGTAGCCTAAGGCTATCGGTCTGCATCTTCCTGGCACAATTTAAATCCCTCTGGTCTCAGAATTTAACCTCTGTAGCAAATAAATACGTACAGTATGAATAACTGCACGGATAAAGGAATCAGCTTGCTATCTTCTCTTCCGCCCGACGATGGCGATATTAGACAATGAATATCGCATGAATATTTGCTAGCCAAGGCCGTTTCCTTCTCCTGCGGGCGGCGCTGGCGTGCAAACAGGAGAGGCTTTTCTACATCACAGCAAAAACACGAGCACAGTATTTCTCAAGCTGCAAGGCGGGGGGCGTCGGATGGCTGGGCTGCTGCCTATTGGCCGAGGCGCGAAGCGTGGAACGCGATGCAGCGCGGTGGTTGGCTGAGACGCGCTTCACCCTGAACCGGGCAGCCGTGGGCTGGCTTTAGGAGGTCAAAAGTAACAAGCAGCAAAAAAACACAAGCCAGGCGCCGGGAAAGCGCAGTGCCCGGGCAAAGAGCGAAGTTGAGCGGAGCAAGGTGAGTCCGGAAGCGGACTCTTGTGCAAAGGGCGTGGGATCACGGGTGCTGGGGGGTGGGCACTGGGGGCAAATGGTCGGATAGGCCTGGGATAGCTCAGTCAGTGGAGCATGAGACAGTTAAACTCAGGGTCGTGGGTTCGAGTTCTGCGGAGAGACAGAAGATTCCTGCATTAGGGGGTTGGACTAGATGAGCCTCAGGGTCCTTTCCAACTCTGCAGTTTGATGGTTCTGTGATTCCCCAAAGGGGCACAAGGTGCTGGGTTGGGTTTGTGATCAAAAGTAGGAAGCTGGCAGTCGGGAGACAGGGCAGGGAAAGGTAAGGGGCAGCCACGTTATCGTACAAGAGGTGGAAGGAGGAGGTGTCAGAAAGCAAAAGCAGAGCGGCACCAGGGAACAAGGGGCTGTGGGCAAGGTGGTGGTGGACTGCGATTGGCACTGGGGTGAGTAGGCTCCAAGCCACAAGGACAAGCAAAAGGATTGCAGTGTGGGAGCAATTTGTCGTCCGGCTGGCAGAAGATGGGTTGCACGGGGAGAATGACAGAATTGTAGGGTTGAAAAGGGACCCAACCCCAAGCAACAAAGGAGTCTTTTGCCCAGCGTGGGGCTCAAACCCACAACCCTGAGATTAAGAGCCCCGTGCTCTACTGACTGAGCTATGCAGGAGAGATTAATGCTTCCTGCATTGTGGCAGCAAAAAGCAGGACATATGAGGGCCACACTTGTGGTGGGTCTCAGCCTTAGCCTGTGTACGCATCATATATATTTAAAGCGCGTTTCCTCCTCCCCAAGGATCCTGACAAGTGTAGTTTTTTGAGTGTGCTAGTTGTATATCTGTGATGAGTAAACTACAGTTTCCTTGGGGGGGCGCAGGACGTGTTTTGAATATGCTTTAGATGTATAGGGTGTTCAGCTCAAAGGACTCAGTTACTTAGAGCAAGGGTAGGCAACCTAAGGCCCGGGGGCCGGATGCGGCCCAATCGCCTTCTCAATCCGGCCCGCGGATGGTCCGGGAATCAGTGTGTTTTTACATGAGTAGAATGTGTCCTTTTATTTAAAATGCATCTCTGGGTTATCTGTGGGGCATAGGAATTTGTTCATATATTTTTTTCCAAAATATAGTCCGGTCCACCACATGGTCTGAGGGACGGTGGACTGGCCCACAGCTGAAAAAGGCTGCTGACCCCTGGCTTAGAGCGTGGTGCTGATAACACTGAGGCTGCAAGTTCGATCCCTGCATGGGACAGCTGCATATTCCTGCATTACGGGGGTTGGACTTAGATGATCCTTCCAAATCTACAGTTCTATGGTTCTATGATTCAGTGAATTGGTCAAGGTAGGAAAGCAAGGTGCCCATTAAACACTGAGGTAGATTGATGGAAATCGTGGACATTGGACCAGAAGAATGGGAGTTTCTTATCAGAAGAAGGCAGCAAAGTGTATTAGATACAGAGCACCAGAGTGCTGTTTGCATGGGTAAGTCAAGCAGGTGGCATCAGCGTGGCATTGGCAACAGAAACCAGGTTTTCGGGATGTGATGTGTAGTTTGAAAAGTGCCAGTAAGGTAAGGAGGTGTAGCAGTTGCACGAGAGAGCTATACTCCAGGCAGCAGGCTGCCCAGAAGTGGGCCAATGCCACATTGAAGAGAAGACACTACAGGGTCCAGTCAAACCTCAGTTGTCAAACATAATCCTGTTTGGCTTCCGAAATTTTCGACAACCAAGGCGCAGCTTCCGATTGGTTGCAAGAACTTCCTGCACACAAGCCAGACGTTCAGCTTCCAAAAAACGTTTGAAAACCAGAGCATTTACTTTTTCAGCATTCAGGAGCCGAAACGTTCCAAAACAGAGGCGTTCAGTAGTCGAGGTTTGAATGTATGAGGTAAAAAAAGTTAAAGGACCACTGGACAGTTAAGTCCAGTCAAAGGCGACAATGGGGTTGCAGCACTCATCTCACTTTCAGGCCGAGGGAGCCGGCGTTTGTCAGCAGACAGCTTTGCGGGTAATGTGGCCAAGCATGACTAAACCACTTTTGGTGCGCACGGAAACGCCATTTATCTTCCCGCTGCAGCGGTACCTATTTATCTACTTGCACTGGTGTGCTTTCGAACTGCTAGGTTGGCAGGAGCTGGGACAGAGCAACGGGAGCTCACTCTGTTGTGGGGATTCGAACTGACGACCTTCTGATCGGCAAGGCCAAGAGGCTCGGTGGTTTAGACCACAGCGCCACCCGGTCCCCTATATAATACCAAAGGGTATCAGCCCTTTGGAATCTCCCCTTCTGGGATGCCCCTGGGGAACAAGGACCACTTGCACATGAGAGACGCAGAGGGATGGCAGAAGTATCTTGACTGAGAGACAGGAAAGTGAAATTCTCCCAGAGTTCTCCAAACTGGAAGAGCAAAGGAAAACTCCCAGTGAGAGCTGGGAGAGTCTGTAATTCTCTGTGGAGGTGGGGATTAAGAAGATTGTACTTGGGCACTGTTTTTGTACTTTAGATAGGGGCTGGCAGGGGAGTTGGTAGGCTTTGAAAGAACTACAGTGGTACCTCAGGTTAAGAACTTAATTCATTCCGGAGGTCCGTTCTTAACCTGAAACTGTTCTTAGCCTGAGGTACCACTTTAGCTAATAGGGCCTCCCACTGCCGCTGTGCTGCCGCCGCACGATTTCTGTTCTCATCCTGAGGTAAAGTTCTTAACCCGAGATACTATTTCTGGGTTAGCGGAGTCTGTAACCTGAAGTGTATGTAACCTGAAGCGTCTGTAACCTGAGGTACCACTGTATTTGGATTTCATCCAGAATGTTTAGGATATATATCTATATATCTATAGATATAGATATATACACACACACAAGATTACAAAGCTGAAAGCTCCAGCTAAAATCAGGCTCGTGTCACAGCACCACAGAAAAAAAAAAGTTGCTGTGTGCCAGCCTGTCAAAAGGTGCAGACATCGGGCGTCATCCTGGCTCCCCGGTATCTTCACTTGGTTGCAAGTGGCGGATTGCCAGGTGCCAACCTGGCGAATTTCAAATGCTGGTTTCATCACCCTTGCACTGTCCCTGTGAGAACCGGCAGCAAACGAATCTCTTTACCTTTCTCCCTCCAGAGCCTTTGGTTTTCCTCAGCACCTCTGCTTTTCTTCCAAGATTGGCGGCGGCGGAGACAATGGGGATGAAGGAAGAAGAACCCGATTACCAGAAGCAGTTTGACGCTGCTGTCCGTGTCATTCAAGGCTTGCCCAAAAATGGTGAGAGCCCATTTGGGGATGCTCTGTGGTTACTTGCTGTACCTGCTCCACAGACCTCTGGCATCAAGTTCTCCAAGCTTGTCTGTACAGCCATAAGGAGACAACGACAACAACAACTTTTGAAAACCCCAAAAAGAAGCTGGGATTCTCAAGAGCTGGAACTTAGATTCTTAGTTTGAAGCTTGCATAGTTCCCTTACTGCTGTGTTATACTCCCTGATTCCCTATCCTCACCAGGATGGGTTATATTCCAATTTACTGTGTATGAAATGTTAATGTTCTGGAAGCTGCCCAAAAAGTGGCTGGGGGAACCCAGTTATATGAGTGGCATATAAATTGTTGTTGTTGTTGTCAGATGGGTGGCATATAAATTGTTGTTGTTTGGCGGCATATAAATTATTATTATTATTATTATTAGGTGGCATATAAATAAATTACTACTACTTACTACCACTGCTGCATGCTGCTTACATGCCAGAACAGCTTCTAAGCAATTTACAAGTATAAAATCAATTACAGAATCCATACACACAAACTATAACAATTCCATCCAAACGTTTTTGAAAGCCGTATTTAAAATGCACACTACTACCAAGCCTATTAAAAACATAATTAATTGAACAATTAAAACAGATCAGGAAGTTCAAGCTCAGTCTTTTAATTAATAATTAATAAATAATAATACAGCCTGCTCTGTCCCAACTCCATTCCTTTTCATGACATTTTGGGGCTACTATCGGGTTTGGTGCCGTGCACGATCATGCGTCATTCGGACGCACCTAAATCGAGAGTTGCATGTACTGAATTTGAACTTCCTGATCAATCTGTTTTAATTCAATTTAATTGTTTTGACTGTTTTGGTTTTTAACGGGCATGATTGATTGTGTGTTTTAAATGTGGGGTTTTAAACGTTTTGATGGAACTGTTTTAGTGAGCAGAGATTTTATAAAATTATAGTTGTAAGTGTAGGCCACTTAGAAGCTATTCTGGCATGTGTCTTATAAAGAAGAATGTTGTGAGTTTTATTTTAGGGGGAGGGGGTTAGGTTCATCTTCTAATTCCTGGATTCAATTACTGGAATCGGTAGGTGAGCCTGGGGAATGGGTCATTAAGAGAAACAAAGGGGGTGGCTCTGTGCCAGAAGACAAATGGGTGGGTCTCTCCCCCCCAAAAAAACCCCGTCTGTTAGTTAGAAAGACAAAAGCCAGAGTTTAGGTCTGTGTGAAAGAGACCTGGGTAGAAGCAGGCTGCAGGCAGAAGCCATAGAGCAGTAATGTCCAAACTTGGCCCTCCAGCTGTTTTTGGACTACAACTCCCATCATCCCTAGCTAACAGGACCAGTGGTCAGGGATGATGGGAAATGTAGTCCCAAAACAGCTGGAGGGCCAAGTTTGGCCATCACTGCCATAGAGGGAGAGACATCATCATCATCATTATTATTGAATTTATATACCGCCCTATACCCAGCGATCTCAGGGCAGTTCACAGACTAAAATCAAGATATAAACCCACAAAATACATAATAAAAATACAAACAACAACCCAATAGCTCCCCCCCCCAAAAAAAAACACATTTTAAAAGGGCATAGGATGTAAATTGGATCAGCCAAAGGCCTGGTTAAAAAGGAATGTTTTTGCCTGGTGCCTAAAGGTGTGTAATGAAGGCACCAGGCAAACTTCCCTGGGGAGAGCATTGCACAGATGGGGAGCCACTGCAGAGAAGGCCCCGTTCTTATGTTGCCACCTTCCGGATGATTCTGACCTTACCCGCTTTTCTCAGGTGCCTACCGACCATCCTACGAAGAAATGCTACGCTTCTACAGCTACTACAAGCAAGCCACAGTGGGTCGGTGCCAGATCCCCAGGCCAGGATTTTGGGATCCTATTGGCAGATATAAATGGTAAGAAGGGCCAGGACCAACATCTCCTTTCAGAACTTAGTGAGGCACTGACTTTGTTTGAACTTAGCCCCTGATCCTGTTTTCAACAAATGGACCAGCCTTGCAACGCTGGTACAAAGTACTGCTGTTTATCTGATGGGCATGGGGATAAGCTAGTATTGCTCCAATTGCATGGGCAACTGTTGCAATTATGGGCTTAATTTTAGATGCTGGCTTTGATCCATAAAGGCTTACATCTCCCTGTATTTGGCCTGTGTCAAGTTGCAGTCGGGTGATCAAGTACTGCCTTTGAAAGAAAAACAAAACAAAAACGCCCTTATTGCAAGAGATTAAAACTGTAAGAATGAGAAGCAGGGCTTTCATTGCAGTGGCCCCCTACTTTTGGAATGCCCTGCCTTTTGTTCTGAGCAGGAGCTAATACCGAGCCGTTTCCCTTAAGAACTGCAAGCAATCATTTGATTTGGTGGCCTCTTGTTCTTACAATGGCCACCTGCCAGTTGTTATTTATTAATAAAATAACCATGCCGTTTTTAAATACAGTGGTACTTCAGGTTAAGTACTCAATTCATTCCAGAGGTCCGTTCTTAACCCGAAACTGTTCTTAACCTGAAGCACCACTTTAACTAATGGGGCCTCCTGCTGCCACCGCGCTGCCGGAGCCCGATTTCTGTTCTTATCCTGAAGCAAAGTTCTTAACCTGAAGCACTATTTCTGGGTTAGCGGAGTGTGTAACCTGAAGCGTATGTAACCCGAGGTACCACTGTAGTGCAAATCATAGAATGGCATTGAATTTTACTCAGTATTGATCAAGAGTAGATTTCAATGTATAGTTAGCAGAGTCAAAACTTAAAACACGTCGCAGGATTCCCAAAAAATAGACCAGAGGCAATTGTATTTCATCCAGCAGAGTTTTACTGCAACTGAAGGCAAATGAGCATAATGGTCACAAATCCAATACATTCAGGATTGGCACTGTCCATAGGAAATCCAGTTGCAGCAGATTTAACTTAAACTTACAATAACTTATAATAAGTCTAAACCTTAACACTAAGCATACAATCATACCTCGGCTTGCGAACTCTGCAAGTTGCGTGTTTTTGGGTTACGGACTCGCCGAACCCAGAAGTACTGAAATGGGTTACTTCCGGGTTTTGGCGCATGTGCAGAAGCACTAAATCACGCTTTGCGCAGGCGCAGAAGTGCCGAATTGCATCACGCGCGTGCGCAGACGTGGCGCTGTGGGTTGCGAACGTGCCTCCCGCACAGATCACGTTCGCAACCCGAGGTTCCACTGTACTATGTGCAGAACAACACACCAGAAGGAAAAGACATAGAAAGAGAAAGTGAAACTCGGGCTCCTTCTGGCCTTACTTTTATAGTCAGCATGACCTTCACAGAAAGAGATAAGAGAACCAGTTTAAATCAGCTGTACTCAGCTTCTCTGAAGGAATAACCCAAACATCATGAACCTTCTTGCTTCTTTCACACAGAGAAGCTTCCAGAATCCTCTTGAATTTATTAGAATAGGGAAGATCTCTACACATCAGATCAATACTTTCTGCACAAAGAAATGCAAACTGACATAGAATTCTTAGAATCATAGAGGTAGAAGGCACCCTGGGCATCTAGTCCAACCCCCTCCAATTCAGGAATCTTTCACCCAACATGGGGCTTTGAACCCACAACCCTGAGATTAAGAGCCTCGTGCTCTACCAACTGAGCTATCATGCCGTGTGTGTGTGTGTGTGTGTGTGTGTGTGTGTGTGCGCTGTTTGGGACATACAGTGGTACTTCGGATTACATATGCTTCAGGTTACAGACGCTTCAGGTTACAGACTCCGCTAACCCAGAAATAGTACCTCGGGTTAAGAACTTTGCTTCAGGATGAGAACAGAAATCGTGCTCCGGCAGTGTGGCGGCAGCGGGAGGCCCCATTAGCTAAAGTGGTACTCTCAGGTTAAGAACAGTTTCAGGTTAAGAACGGATCTCCAGAACGAATTAAGTTCTTAACCTGAGGTACCACTGTATGGGAAAGTGAATGTTTAAAATTAATCAAAACGAGAAGTAAAAATATTCTGAGTTATGCATAGACTTTCTGAATAATCGCAAGAATAATAGAGGGCTGCTAATTCAGAGAACCCGACTTTCAGGCAGGTGTGAACTCTTGGCATCTTTCTTTCCCAAAATTAAGCACCTGTCCCCCCCAGGTAAGAAGTTATGTTTGGCTTTTTGGCAGGGATGCATGGAACAGCTTGGGGAAGATGACCAAAATGGAAGCCATGGCAGCTTATATCGCCGAGATGAAGAAGGCTGCTCAGAAGGTAGGAAATGGGGAACACCCTCCTCTTTCAGGCCTGGTCTGCCTGGTTGGGTCGCCATGGAAACTCCTTACAATGAGATATGAGTAGGCTGCAGCTCAACCCTAACAGCGATTCAACGGCAGAAATGGCAAGGAAGGCACCTCAGGGTTTGGGCTTGAACAAATCTCTGTGGGTAGGGGATTTCGGAGAGCCTTTGGCTCTGAAATGAAGGAGTTCAGCATGAAGGAACCCAGCGGGTTTTTGAACAAAACCAAAGTTTTGTGCCGTTTTAAAACGTGTCAGATGTTTGTGAGATTCAAAGTGAAAGTACAGCTGAGATCCCTGAGAGATGTTTTAAAATGCACAAACCACCAGGCCTGATGTTTAGACTTCCTGATAAGACATCGGCTGAGTTCTGCTTTGAATCCTCTAAATGCAGCAGCCTACTCCAGTGGCAATGTTGTAAAATAAATCCAAGTGAGAAGGGGTCAGATTTACACTTCTGCAAGAAATTTTGCTTGAGAGCCCTTGTGTGGGACTCTCGGTGGTCCACGATCCGGGGGAAAAGTTAGGTCCAGACTTCAACATTGCTGCAGCATCAGGTTCAAACAGACCGGTCGCTGGATCCCAGGGAATGTTCTTGTACCACACGGGATCCTCTCTAGGACTTTTTGGCAGGTCATCAACACCGTGCCGTTGGATGAGTCGTCGGAGGACATGTTTGTATACTTCGAACCCCTCTACGAAGTGATAAACGATATGCCCAGGCCCCCAGACTCCTTCTTCAAGAAGAAAACAGGTATGTCCGTTAGCAGTGACAGAGGGGTGCGTGGGTTCTCCAGCTGTTATGATGTGTGCTTCAAGACCACAGATTTTTTAAATAAGAATGTAGACGTCACCTCCCCAGCTCCTCTTGGACACAACCTATGCAAGCTTTGCAGGTGCTTCCATCTAATCTGGCCTCCGTAAAGTGTGTCTTTTCTGCAAAGAGCTTGTTCAGCATGTTTGAGAGTGGAGCCTCGCAGCGAGGGAGTCTTGGCTGGATGACCTGCTTTCAGGTCATTCCCCAGCCGTGCAACTGTAGGAAAAGGGATCCCTAATCTCAGCTGATCCTTGTCCCTCCCTGAAATTTCTCAGGTGCCAATTTGCATTCATCAGCTGGGAGTGAAGCAGTCCAACCTGCTTGGTCTTGCTTAGGGTTTGGGCAACATAGACAGCCCCCACCCCCAACTTTGCTGCAGGATTTTTGTTGGCAGGGAGAGGGGAAAAAGAAGACTTGTGATTCAGCGCATGATGGGTTTCCTTCTCTGAATAACTTCCCTCCCGGCCTTGTTTTTTCCTCTCAAAGATGGTGAAATATACTCGGAGTCGAGAGTGGATTTCATGCTCTTTATTCAGCTCGTAGTGGTGAGGAGGAATGGATGTTCCCCCAAAATATCTGCTTTATATACATTATTTACACAAGGGGCTGCACGTGATTGGCTAATTCCGGGATTCTCCTGTAGGCCAATCAGGTTGTGGATTCACTTCCACTTGGAGCTGGATTGGGTGGCTCCTGTGGACCAATCATACTGCTGCATTGTTCTGGGACCAATCAGACTGCTGCATTCTGAATCCTATTGTTCTAGGACCAATCAGACTGCTGCATTTTGGGTCCTATTCAACTCAGTACATAACAGATGGGAAGGACAAAGCAGGGAAACTTGGGACAGTGGAAGGGGTTTGGATTTTAGTCTATATTGTGCGAGATGCATATCAGGAGCTTCCCCTCCCCTTGCCCGTTTCATTCTAAAATCTTGGCATGCGCAACTCTTCTGTAGAGCACTTTTGACTTCCTCACCCCCATCGAAAAGATCTGGCCCACCTCCCAGCTGTTATCACTCTTCTTACAGTGTAAACAGAAGCCCTGTTGCTGCCTGGGTGGAGATAACAGCACTGCCAACGGGGTTAGCTTCACAGTCAAAAAGTGCCCATCGGCGCTCCCTCTACTATGTTGGTGGATCCTTGGCTGTGGGCTTGCATGGAGCAGCAGACTGTTCAAAGCCGCAGTTTTAAATTTCCCACACTTTACAGCAGGAGCATTGTGGGAAATTTAAATGGCGGCTTACAAACCCACCGGGTACAGGGAGCTTGAGACAGCCATCAGCGCCCTCATCTCTGGGACCACTGCAGCTGCCCAGGGATTCTGGTATCTGATGCTGGAACGGACGTCCATTTGTTTCAGCAAAGCTTGTGCAAGAGAACTTCCTAATGGACTGTGCCGTAAACATCAGCACCGTCTACCTATTCATGGAACCCCAGACAGGCCATCTGAGCTAACAGTTTCATCTAGCTCTAGGTTCCCCAAATTTGGGTCTCCAGCTGTTTTTGGACTACAACTCCCATCATCAGGACCAGTGGTCAGGGATGATGGGAATTGTAGTCCAAAAGCAGTTGGAGGCCCAAGTTTGGGAAACCCTGATCTAGACTCACAGAAAAACCAGTTTGCTCTTCCTGGGCCTTTTATATGGAGCCTGTCATTTGGTGGTAGATTAAATATTTTAGCCGGATTTGTAGCCAACACCCTCAAATCCGAGTTACGGTTTAGTTGACAAGCCTCCCAGGAATGCTAATCCAGTTTTTATTGAACTTCAGCACCTTTATCTTAGGGGAAGTTGATCATATTCATTGACTGCAAAGTCCATTGTAATCAAGATGGTGGGAGAAACAGGCAGATTCCCTTTTTTATTGCCCTCCTGTTCCACCCCCACACCGAAGACACTGGCAGCTCCTAGAGAAGGCCCTTGGAAACAACAAGTGTGTGTCCAGACCCACAGACTATGAAAGAGCAGTAGTTTTGTGGAATTATCCTGGTTCTCTTGTCAATGCTTATGGGGATATCCCTGGTGAGAGTTTGCCCCTGTTTGTGCAAAAGGTACGCTAGCCTGACTTCAGCAGGGGCTGGGCAAGCTCAAACAATGGCTAAAAGAACAGGCAATATTTCCAAAACTGTATGGCGCTGTGGGTTAAATCATAGAGTCTAGGACTTGCCGATCAGAAGGTCGGCGGTTTGAATCCCCGTGACGGGGTGAGCTCCCGTTGCTCGGTCCCTGCTCCTGCCAACCTAGCAGTTCGAAAGCACGTCAAAGTGCAAGTAGATAAATAGGTACTGCTCCAGCGGGAAGGTAAACAGCGTTTCCGTGCGCTGCTCTGGTTCGCCAGAAGCGGCTTAGTCATGCTGGCCACATGACCTGGAAACTGTACACCGGCTCCCTCGGCCAATAAAGCGAGATGAGCGCTGCAACCCCAGAGTCGGCCATGACTGAACCTAATAGTCAGGGGTCCCTTTACCTTTTATGTGTGCTTGTCATTGCTGGTTGTGCCATAGGAAATGAATGAATTTAAAGAATCAAAGGCTCCTATGAGCTCAAAATGATCTGCAGTAGAGACTGCTTGCTATATCTCCGAATGCTTCACTACTCCGGACATTTGATCCTTTAAACCGGGGGGGGGGGGTACCTGTGGACCTCCAGAACTTTCCGGACTACAGCTCCTGATATTCCTGACTGTTGCCCATGTTGGAGTTGAGTTCGAGACCACCTTGAGGGCTACAGGTTCTGCACCACTGCTGTAAATGGCTTTAATTCAAGGGTGGGTAGGTCTGCCGTATCAAGGTATTGTGACTCGTTCAATCACAAACAAACATCACCTGTCCTGGTTGGAGTGGAAGCGGTTTACCCTTCATCTCCTCTGAGGTCAGATGCTTCTTGGGGTCTGGACCTTAACCTAATCCATCCTACCCCATAGGCCATTTTGACAGGTGGTTGTGGTTGGTGTTAGGTGACCCTGAAGGTAAAGGGACCCCCGACTGTTAGGTCCAGTCATGACCGACTCTGGAGTTGCGGCGCTCATCTCGCTTTATTGGCCGAGGGAGCCGGCGTACAGCTTCCGGGTCATGTGGCCAGCATGACTAAGCCGCTTCTGGCAAACCAGAGCAGCGCACGGAAACGCCGTTTACCTTCCCGCCGGAGCGGTACCTATTTATCTACTTGCACTTTGATGTGCTTTCGAACTGCTAGGTGGGCAGGAGCAGGGACCGAGCAACGGGAGCTCACCCCGTCGTGGGGATTCGAAACGCCGACCTTCCGATCGGCAAGTCCTAGGCTCTGTTGTTTAACCCACAGTGCCATCCACATCCCCTAGGTGACCCTACTTTGATGGAAATAATTGGGTGGACACTCTATAAGCAGTCTGTTGTGGTCATCACCTTAAAATCTTGAGATGGCCTTGGGAATTTCTGAGGTCAGAAAACGGGTGCCGTTATTTGCGTTGTAGCCAGCGAACTTTAAGGTGCTGATGCTCTCGTGTTTAAATGAAAAGATGGCATCAAAGGTCTTGAAAAGGCTGCAGAGGTTTGTAGGAGATAATCCAGACCTTATGGGCAGATTTGATGGACATTCCCTTCTTTTTGTAGTGAAAACAGGCTCTGAGTCTGCCCCGCTCCACAACGGCTCTTTAAGGCATAGCTGTCAAGTGTCCCTTATTTGAAGGGACAGTCCCTTATTCCAGCGCCATGTCTCGCAGCTGTCCCTTATTGATAGATGTCCCTTAAATGTCCCTTAAATGATGTCCCTTAAATTTCAAAGGAAGCAGCTCCTCTCCCTCCCTCCCTGCTGGCTAGGGAGGAGGGAGGCTCCAACTGTGTTGCTTGGCTCACCCAATAAGAAGTCTAAGAACGACTGGGGGGTGGAGCTTGCATGCCTTGTGTGTGGCTAGTTAAGGCAAGCTGAGGGGGGTTTTGAATGCTGGACGCCATTTTGTTGCACGTGCTGCTGCAAACTTTGCAGTGCAAAGCCAGGCCGGGGAGCCATCTTAAGTTGAGGCTGCACAGGCCTTGTGGTGCATGTGATTCAGATTCTATTCAGTTGAACCTCTGGTTACAAAGTTGGTTGGACAGTGTTCTCGAAGCTACCAGCCTGAGTTTGACCAGACTGCAGGAGGACAGGAAGACTGGAGTGCCTGGAACAGGTGAGGCTGCAGGTCCCTTATTTTGGTTGCTGGTCCCTTATTTTCAAGGCTGCTGGTCCCTTATTTTCAAATCTGTAAGTTGACAGCTATGCTTTAAGGGGACCAGCTGAGAACATCCCACCAGAACACGGAGAGCGCAATCAAACAGGCAAGATTTACAGATATTCTAGCCAAATGCCTATCATGATGACAGGTGGGATGTGTGCAGAGAAAGTGCTTTAATCCTTCAGCAATTCCTGCAAGACACCATGCATCTTTATGAACTCTGAGCAGACTGCAACATCCTTGTAAGTGATGGCCAAGCTGTGCAGCGTCAGAGCCAGCAGACAGGGTTTGCAGTAACCTCAGGTGTCCCCAAAGCAGCCCCACTTTGTAATCCACTCACAGGGAAAAGTTATCCGTGGATATGGAAGCTAATAAAAGATGCACTCAGGCACACCATTGGAGGTGAGAACTAACCTGCTGCCTGCTGTTCAAGGTACCAGCCATTAAGAATTAAGCCTGCGCTTTTTGGTTCAAGGGTATTGTGTTCCCTGGTCACATTAGAGTGGGACAGAAATGTTGGGAAATAATTTAATTAGGAAGGAGAGGTTCTCTTTTTTATTATTATTGTGGGTGTATTTCGACATAACCTGCGGTGGCGGTGAGGATCTCGATGTGCAAATTTGTAGCTCTGCTTTAAGAAAAGAAAACAAACCCAGGTGTCTAGAGAAGCAATGTCGGTTAAACCAGTTTTAAAATCAGTTTAGGGTTCAAGTATGGACAGAGCCCAAGCTGGTTCATATTCCCACTTTGAGCAACAAGGGGTTGATTTGGGAGGGGGAGCCCCTGCCATCCCTCCTCCCCCAACGTGATATGCCAAAATCCAGCATCTAAGTCGGGGTTTCTCCCAGTCACCAACATCCTTGACCTTCTAGCTAGGGATGATGGTGACTGGGAGTGGCCGCTGAGACCACATAACACCGGTCCTGAAAGACCTTCATTGTCTCCCAGTACGTTTCCGAGCACAATTCAAAGTGTTGGTGCTGACCTTTAAAGCCCTAAACGGCCTCGGCCCAGTATACCTGAAGGAGCGTCTCCACCCCCATCGTTCAGCCCACACACTGAGGTCCAGCTCCAAGGCCCTTCTGGCGGTTCCCTCGCTGCGAGAAGTGAGGTCACAGGGAACCAGGCAGAGGGCCTTCTCAGTAGTGGCGCCTGCTCTGTGGAATGCCCTCCCATCAGATGTCAAGGAAATAAACAACTATCTGACTTTTAGAAGACATCTGAAGGCAGCCCTCTTTAGGGAAGTTTTTAATGTTTGATGTTTTATCGTGTTTTTAATATTCTGTTGGCAGCCGCCCAGAGTGGCTGGGAATAAATAATAAATTATCATCATCATAGTCCAAAAACAGCTAGACACCCAAGCTTGGGAAACCCAGATCTAAGTTAGGTGCCTTTTCCTTGGTTCACTGAAGGACAGCTTGATTCTTGAGCCTTCATGAGCTGCGCATAGCCTAAGCAGTGGGATCAAAGCTCAGCTCTTTGTCCTTCTCTTTTGCAAATCAGATGAAATGTTGAATCCGAGTTGCTACGCAGCCCAGATCCAAAACCTTCTGCGACAGTGTTACAGAAGATACCCAGTTCATTTTGTGTGTGTGTGTGTGTGTGTGTGTGTGTGTTTGTGTGTGTGAAACCCACTATAGCATGAAAGAAATACGAAGCACCTTGTTTTTGGATTTAGCACACATTTGAGGATGTGATCAGAATATGCACACCTGGTTTTCTTGGCCTTTTATCTATCATGGGTCAGATATTGAGAACAAAGGATGGAGGCTCCCGAGCTCTTTTCACATCTGGACATTGACCGGGAAGATTAGACACCAAGAGGACAATAAATGTGAAAAAGAATGGATTAACTTTATAGTAAACACTTAAAAATGTAAAGACTTAAAAACGTTAGCAGGATTGGATTAGCACTTGTAATATAATTTGATAAAGGGTATTAAAAAAGAGATCTAATAGATTGTATAAAAGTATTTAGACACAGAAAAGAGAAGAGATAATTCCAGTGGTACCTCGGATTAAGTACTTAATTCATTCCGGAGGTCCGTTCTTAACCTGAAACTGTTCTTAACCTGAAGCACCACTTTAGCTAATGGGGCCTCCTGCTGCCGCTGCACCGCTGGAGCACGATTTCTGTTCTCATCCTGAAGCAAAGTTCTTAACCTGAAGCATTATTTCTGGGTTAGCAGAGTCTGTAACCTGAAGTGTATGTAACCTGAAGCGTATGTAACCTGAGGTACCACTGTATTGAAAACCAGGGAGAGGAGTGGGGGGAAGTCCAGGCGTCAGAAGAACCCCTATAAAGATACTGAATTTGTTTATAGATTAATGCAAATATTAATAGTGTGTGTGTGTGTGTGTGTGTGTGTGTGTGTGTGTGTGTGTCTGTGTAACATCTGGCCATTCGGATACAGTCATACCTCAGGATAAATACACTTCAGGATGAGCGCGTTTGGGTTGCGCTCCGCGGCGACCCGGAAGTAACAGAGCGCGTTACTTCCGGGTTTCGCCGTTTGCACATGCGCAGACGGTCAAAATAACGCCATGCGCGGAAGCGGCGAAACACGGCCCGCGCATGCGCAGATGCGCTGTCGCATCTTACGTTATGTTCAGGATGTGAACGGGGCTCCGGAACGGATCCCGTTCGCATCCCGAGGTACCACTGTACTTCAATATATGACGGCTTGCACAAACTCCTATCTGTACTTCTGTTTCTGAGCCATACTCTTTATCTCGCTGGCTAGGCTATGCAGACAAAGAAAGCAAGAGCATCCATGTGCCCAGCGATTCGGAGAGCGAGGTCTTCTTTGACAGCCTGGAACCCGGGGAACCCGATGAGGTGATGATGACTAATGGGGTGGGAGGTAATTGTGAAGTTAACTACGAGTCTTCTTCTTACTTTTTGATAGATCTGATCTAGATTTTCTTTTGCTATGAACATGCTCTTGTTAATTAATTGATTACATTAATTTGATAAAAATTATACACTGCACGGTTGTAAAAAAAAAACCCACAACCCAGCCTCAAAGCAGTTTACCAAAGTTAAAACAGTAAAATCAAGAAGAATTTACAACTCTATTTTAAAACATACAACTTAAAATACTAAAAAAGAAAATGAGTTTAATCTCCTCATTGAGATGGGCAATCATGTACTGAGCTGCTAAATCAAACCAGAGCCGCTTTGAAGGAAGTAGCTATTTTTTTTATTAAAAAAAAATTATGGTACGATTTGCCCGCCCCAAAAAAACTTTTATAAAATATACCGATTTATGTGTATTGAGGCAAAGTTTGCAGACTTGGGAATATTGATAAAACTGAAACGAAACTCCAGCAACAACAGCAATTTTATTATATATAACTGGCCCATCTGGCTTTGTGTAAATAGCTTGGTGGGTTAACTCACACACATATACATTAATTCACCTAAGGAAGGTCAAATCTGCAAAGAACAAGAGACAGCGCAATACTTTCCATTAGTCTTAAAATAATGGAACACGATGCATCATCTTAACGTCTGACCTTTGGTATACTTTCCTAGCGAAGAATGAAATGGCTTTCATTTGCCAACACTGTTAGGAAACCGGAACAGCCCTGCGCATTCAGCCTTCTTGCTTTGCTGTAATTCAAGTCACAACAGCTCTAAAACTTTATTATGACATCCAGCTCAGAGCTATTACTGGAAACAGTCCCTCAGGGCACAATCCTTCCATCTCCCCAGGGAACCCTGGGAATTGTAGTTCTGCGGAAGGAAGGCTTGATCATTCTGTTACAGTGAACAACCAGCACCTCCACTGTCCCACGATCTGTTGGAGGAAGTCATAGCGGTTAATGGAAAAGAGCTAGGAAAGAAAAAAAGTACCGTATTTTTTGCTCTATAAGACTCACTTTTTTCCCTCCTAAAACGTAAAGGGAAATGTGTGTGCGTCTTATGGAGCAAATGCAGGCTGCGCAGCTATCCCAGAAGCCAGAACAGCAAGAGGGATCGCTGCTTTCGCTGTGCAGCGATCCCTCTTGTTGTTCTGGCTTCTGAGATTCAGAATATTTTTTTTCTTGTTTTCCTCCTCCAAAAACTAGGTGCGTCTTATGGTCTGGTGCGTCTTATAGAGCGAAAAATACGGTAGTCTAGGCATGCCCATACGATTTCAATCCCTCTCTCGTTTCCCCCACAGGATAGGAGGCTATCAGCCATGCCAAACCTCCCCCTGAACAATATTCAGAGTGGAGAGAAGACTGGATATAAGACTTCAGCATCTTCAACCAGGGAAGGTATAGACGCGAGACTAACGTTTTGACTTAAAAACACACAGGGGGAGACAGATCCAATGCAGGTCCTTGACTAATACAGCTTTCTTCTTCTTCTTTGGCGATCGCTCGTAGCCGAGTAAGATTGTCTTCCATAAACACGGTTCTAACAGTGAGTGCATAAGTGACTGTGGAGGCCAATTCTGGATCCACACTCCTTTCCACAGTGGGGACACAGGTTTCCGGGCGGGAGTTGATCACAATGAGGGTTTGCCAAGTGTACCTTCCTCTTAGCGCGGTTCTCCCTTTTGATCTGAGTTCAAGCGTCTTCAAAGCCCACGACACCTTTGGTAAAGGCTGATCTCCAACTGGAGCACTTGCAGGCCAGTGTTTCCCAGTTGTCGGTGTTTATACTACATTTTTTAATATTTTACTTGAGTCTTTGAATCTCTATTGTCATGGGTAGGCAAACTGAGACCCGGGGGCCAGATCCGGCCCAATCGCCTTCTAAATCTGGCCCACGGACGGTCTGGGAATCAGCGTGTTTTTACATGAGCAGAATGTGTCCTTTTATTTAAAATGCACCTTTCGGTTATTTGTGGGCCATAGGAATTCATTCATTTATTTATTTTTCAAAATACAGCCCAGCCCCCCACAAGGTGTGAGGGACAGTGGACTGGCCCCCTGCTGAAAAATTTGCTGACCCCTGCTCTATTGTTGACCACCAGCATTACGCTTTCCATTTTTAAGTTTGGAATAGAGTAGTTGCTTTGGAAGACGATAATCAGCCATCCGCACAACATGACCAGTCCAATGATGTTGAAGAATCATTGCAGCTTGCACTGTTGGCAAGGAAAGGCCATTTTCTGATCTGTGAGTGCAAACAAGTCCCAGCGTAATTAATTCAGTTTGATCCTGAGATAAGTCTGTGAGGCAATGTTCCGGATCTGATAGAAAGCAGGAGTTTTTGCTATGAAGAAACGGCAGATGTGCCAGGAGAGTCGGGGCTGTACAATTGCCACCATAACAGAAACAAACCTTTTGAGAGAAAGGCAAGCAATGGGAGCAGAAGGCAGGAAAAGGGCATCTCGTTCTCTGACCAGGAGGGCATTATAGGGTTCTGTAAAACCGTTTTAACTAACTTTAATCAATTTGTGTCCTACCATGACCCAAAGCCTGGTCACACGCATCTTGGGTCTTCTATTGGCCCAGGAAGGAAGCCTCCATTTTGCGGGGGGGGGGGGAGCGTAGAGGAGAGACTTGATCTGGATTATGACAAAGGGTTAAAGCCACCTCACCCAGTGTTGTGCTTCCAATGGAGGCCAGCCCCTTCCCCCCGCCCATGGCAATTTTGTTAAAAAGAGTTTTATTGAAATTCCAAAAACGTAACCACGATAACAAACACAACTGAAAATGGCAGTCATTCAGCGCCGCTGCCTTTTAAGGTTCCGCCCCTTTAAGTCAGGGACGCGGGTGGCGCTGTGGGTTAAACCACAGAGCCTAGGACTTGCCAATCAGAAGGTCGGGCGGTTTGAATCCCCACAACGGGGTGAGCTCCCGTTGCTCAGTCCCTGCTTCTGCCAACCTAGCAGTTCCAAAGCACGTCAAAGTGCAAGTAGATAAATAGGTACCCCTCCGGCGGGAAGGTAAACGGCGTTTCTGTGCACTGCTCTGGTTCGCCAGAAGCGGCTTAGTCATGCTGGCCACATGACCCGGAAGCTGTACGCCGGTTCCCTCGGCCAGTAAAGCGAGATGAGCGCCGCAACCCCAGAGTCGGTCACGACTGGACCTAATGGTCAGAGGTCCCTTTAGCTTTACCTTACCCTTTAAGTCATATCTCTTCTGATCTCTTTCTCCCTGTCCCATGTTACAGAGAGGGGTCTCGGCAGCAGTGCGGGTGCCGTGATCCAGCAAGACGTTGACCTGCACGTGATGAGCGCCATTCAAGCTTTGCAGGAGGACATGAAGAAAGTGATGGAGAGACTCGGCTACCTGGAATCCCAGGCAACTTTCCAGGCACGTTGGGAGACACATTCATTTCTTTTATAAATAAATGCATTAATTTTTCAGCACAGCTGGGGGGAAAACTTTCTGAGATATTGCAAAGCATTGTGGATGCATTGTATAAAAACTTACAGTCCCTAGCTCTCATCTGGCAGTGCATCTTCCTACACATCTGGGAACAAGGAACTTGCTAAAACCAAAATCACTTTTGCCAATACAAGGGTGTCTGTGCATTATTATCTTTAGGAGAAATTCTCCTCTGTGCTGCTCTGGCATCCGAGGTGCATCTGTCAAGGACACAAGACAGGGCCTGCTCAGTGGCCAGAGAGCCAGTGTGGTGTAGTGGTTAAGAGCGGTAGTCTCGTAATCTGGGGAACCGGGTTCGCATCTCCGCTCCTCCACATGCAGCTGCTGGGTGACCTTGGGCCAGTCACACTTCTCTGAAGTCTCTCGGCCCCACTCTCCTCACAGAGTGTTTGTTGTGGGGGAGGAAGGGAAAGGAGAATGTTAGCCGCTTTGAGACTCCTTCGGGTAGTGATAAAGCGGGATATCAAATCCAAACTCCTCTTCTTCTTTTTCTTCTTCTTCTGCAGCTAGACTCTGAAACAGGGGTAGGCAAACTAAGGCCCGGGGGCTGGATCAGGCCCAATCGCCTTCTAAATCTGGCCCACAGATGGTCCGGGAATCAGTGTGTTTTTTATATGAGTAGAATGTGTCTTTTTATTTCAAATGCATCTCTGGGTTATTTGTGAGGCATAGGAATTCGTTCATTTCTCCCCCAAAAGATAGATAGGTAGATAGATAGATAGATAGATAGATAGATAGATAGACAGACAGACAGACAGATAGTCCGGCCCACTACATGGTCTGAGGGATGGTGGACCGGCCCATGGCTGAAAAAGTTTGCTGACCCCTGCTCTGCATCCTCCTGCCTTTGTCCCCTTGCTGATGATCTTTGGCCGATAGGATCAATAACTGCTAATGATTCTCTCTTATTTGCAGCCGACTGCCCAGTTTTAGAAACTTCAAACAGCCCCCCCTAGTGGAGAAGATCTGGGTTCTTTTATTAATGGAGAAACTTTCCCACAAATTAAAAGTTTCAGAATCTTTAGGCAAAGGTTTTCTGGCTATAAGGTTCCATGTTATGGAGATAGCAACTCAGGGAAGCGGTTATTTGACCCTGAGCGACACATTACTACCCATATAGGTTTTGTGCTATAGCAGTTGTACTCAGTTAGAACCAATAAGAAGAGTTAAATATTTCGGTTGCAGGAAACAAGAGTTGTATTTATCCATTCTGAATTTTATGGTTTGTGACCTGTATCTGTTTAACCTCATTGTGCAGCTGTTTCGTGAAGATGGCCTTAACTGTGTTCCACACAAATTCTTTGGGACGGTGTTAGCTGTGGCACTGTCCAGAGGGGTTCAGCTGTGGGGTTGTTGTTTTTTGATGAATCTATTCCGAGTTTATTCATTACACCCAGATTACCTTGCATTTTTGCTTGTCTCTTTTCATGGGGGGGCACAGTATAATCTTGTTGCTTTGCTGTTATCATTCTTGTAATGATCCTTTCCAGTGCTTTTTTTCTTTAAAAAAATATGTTTAGGGGTACTCTCATTTTCCTACTCATATTGAAATACTGTGCTGCCCCTCAATGCGGCCAAACTTAGATTCATAAAATGTATAGGGGTATGTGTCCCCCTAGAAAAAAAGCACTGATCCTGTCAAACTTTTGTACAGCCGCCTGTGTGTCCCCCCCTTCAACCCTGCTGAAATACGAGACAACATAGTATAAGGAGGAGGAAACATTAGAAAAATATTTCCATAAGAAGCTGAAAAGACTAGTGGAAAATTAGAAAACAATTCAGAAAACCCCCACAAAAGCTCACAATGCAATGTATCCATTCACAACTTTTTTTATTTTGGTAAAATAAAAGTGGACAATAATCCTGAGAAAGAACAGAGAGATTAATGGTAGGCAGCGTGAGTTATGAAACTTTGTGCAAAACTGCCAAGGATCCTTTTATTTTTCATTTTAAAAATATTTACATAATACTCTTTTTGGCCTTAGAAAACCCCTTTAAAAGATCATAGATTGGAAAAGTGCACAGGCTTCTAGATTCTCATTGCGATTTTTCTGCCATTCAGGGTCACACGTCGATGCTGAATCCTTGTCGGCCAACCTCCTGGCACAACGGAAAGGTATGTGGCAAGTATTCTTAAGTGCGGTCCCTGTCTTTTATCACTTTGATGCAACCAGGCATCTAAGTGGGTTGGCTTAATTAAAGAAAACCAAACCAGAAACACAGGCAGCAATCACAAAGAAGAGTGTGCCTCTGGGCATGTGTAAAATGCTTTTTCTGACCACCCTAAATAGCAGCCCACCTGCTTGGATCTGCTTGCCATCAACCTGTTAATCAGCAAGGAAATGCTGATCGATGAACGAAGCTTCGGTCGATTTCTCCCATTTATTAACCAACTCAAACTTGCACTCTCGCCTGACTGGTTAATTGGAATAATGTAAGCCAGAAAGCAGGACTCCTTATTGCGTCCTGGGAAGCAGCAGCAGCAGCAGGTGCCATTCCGCCCGCAGTGCTTTCCCTTCAATCCAGTCCAGGATTTTACCCCCACCCTCTTCTCTCGTTCCCCAGGAACCGCCAGGTTGGCCCGCACAGCTGTCTCCTCGCACCTGGTTTTTCCTGCTGGCTTGGCCTTTCATCATCCAATGGCTGCATTGGTATTTTCAGAGGAAGAAGAGGTGAATTGCGCAAAGACAACAAACCCCCTTGGAAAAAGCAAAAGAAGCCCTGGCACTTTTGAACTCTGAACATTCGACGCTTGCCAATTTTCCAGCCTCACAGGGATGGGCATGCCTTGAAGGGTTTTTGCCTAACCCCAATGCTACAATCTTGGGGTGCGGGTGGGTGGTCAGTGGATGGGGGAAGATATTTAATCAAATTTGGGTGGTGCTAACCAGTACGCTTTTTTGGGGGGGGGACGCAGGTGGCGCTGTGGGTTAAACCACAGAGCCTAGGACTTGCCGATCAGAAGGTCGGTGGTTCGAATCCTTGCAATGGGCCGTTGCTCGGTCCTTGCTCCTGCCAACCTAGCAGTTCGAAAGCACATCAAAGTGCAAGTAGATAAATAGGTACCGCTCCAGTGGGAAGGTAAACGGCGTTTCCGTGCGCTGCTCTGGTTTGCCAGAAGCGGCTTAGTCATGCTGGCCACATGACCCGCAAGCTGTACGCCGGCTCCCTCGGTTGATAAAGCGAGATGAGCGCCGCAACCCCAGAGTCGGTCATGACTGGACCTAATGCTCAGGGGTCACCTTCACCTTTACCTTTAAATAAAGGAAGTGTGGGGGGGGTCATCTGTGCAAAAAGAAACCGAGGGTCCCAGGGCTTGTTTAGTCGCACGCAAGGAGAAACCGAGGCTGGCACTGACAATTCGAGCAGGCGACACGCAATCATTCAAGACTTCGCACGGCTCTGAACTGTGGGGTTTGTGGCAGGGGATAGGCAGGGCTTGTGTTAACTAATCCAAGGGGTGGGCCTTTTTTGCCGCAATTCCCCTACCTGGAGAGGAGGGGGGGCGGATTTTTTTGAACTCAGGGTACCTAAAGTATTCCCAGCTGCGGGAAATAGTCGGATGCTAATAAAAGATACTGCAGTCCTCTTCTCCTTTTTCTCAGCTCAAAAGGCGTGGGGGTTCCGATGCGAATTAAAGATTCCCCCCCCCAAAAAAAAAATTGCTTTTGTGCCCCGTGCTCCGCTTGCCCGCCCTTCCATTCTCAACCAAGTGAGATCAGAAAAAGGAACACTCTGGTCAGGGCCATGCCATATCTGTTCTGCCACCTGGAAATAAAATTTAAGGCTATCACTGCCAGGCTCCCACAATCTGCTCCAGAAACTGGAGTCTGGCCTTTGACCGTGAGGAATCAACCCATATCATACATTTATCTGCAGAGATAGTCAGAATATGGCGGAAGGTAGAGGCCGGGTTGGGCAAAAACTGGCCTTACTTTCCGACGGTATCCCCCCTATCAAAAGAGCCGGATTCTTTGCCACAACGTTTTTTCCTGTGGCAGGGAGTTCCACAGCTCAGCTTTCCTCAAGTTAAGCACAGGCATTTGCTCTGGGGCCATTGTGACTCAGCAGAATTTGCTGAGCCAGAGGCTCTAAATGGAGGAGACCTTTTCTAATTTTCTCCTCCCAAGCTTCTATGCCTCTCAAAGTTGATCTTTTCCCCCTCATCTCCCGTGATTTCATCTCCCATTCTCCTTTCATCCTCTACCTTATTATGTCTCCGCCCCCCCCCGCCCCGCAAAATGCCTACGTTTCTTTCATCCCTCGTCCTTTTACGTTCACTTCTTCCTCCTATAACAGCTTTCGCCTCGTCATCTTCCTTTCTATTCCCGGTTTGTTTTAAGTAACGATTAATTTGTATCTATTCTTATTATATATTAACTTTCCGTCTCTTTCTAATTCCCTTCAACACCTCCTCCAGACCTTTTCCCTCAGAGGAAGGAAGCCTTCCTTCTGGCCTCTTCAGCGAACATCTCCATCTCCCGGCCACCTCTAACCAGTATGCAAGGAATTTTTGGGGCTGGCGTTGGTCCAAGCAAGAGACTAGCGAGCAGGGCAGACAAGCGAGGGGGCAACAGGCACTGAGACCCACCTGAAAGTGGCCCAAAGCCCACTGGTGAGTCCTGATCACCACACTGATAATCACCACCCACTAGTGTGCTTTTGGAGCGATAGGTGTGGCCTGCATAAAAATATAAAGAGCCGGCTTGCTGGAGCACATCAAAGGCCCAAGGAACCCAGTGTGCTGTCTCCAAGAGTGGGCAGCGAAAAACTCACAAGCCTGGCGTGGGTGGAGGAAAAACTGCATAATACCACACTAATATACAGACATACAATGGTACCTCGGGTTAAGTACTTAATTCGTTCCGGAGGTCTGTTCTTAACCTGAAACTGTTCTTAACCTGAAGCACCACTTTAGCTAATGGGGCCTCCTAATGCCACTGCCGCACCGCTGGAGCACGATTTCTGTTCTCATCCGGAAGCAAAGTTCTTAACCTGAAGCACTATTTCTGGGTTAGCGGAGTCTGTAACCTGAAGCATCTGTAACCTGAAGCGTATGTAACCCAAGTTACCACTGTATACACAGACACCTGCCACTTTGAGGACAGTTGTTCAATAACTGGGATATAAATGGGAAAGTAACTTTAAAAGTAAATAAGTGAGGCATCGAAAGAAATTGGAGAAAACCAGTGCTATTTTTCGGGGAGGGGGGAAGGTGCTGGAACTTATCATGACAAGGAAGTCCTTAATCCTCAGCAGTCATAATTATAATTGGCCCCAACAAACCTACTAAATAGGTGACATGATCTGAGTTCAATAGCATATTCAAGGCAGGCAAAAAGAGTCAGGGTGCATAGCTGGGCCTGTGAGAGCTACAGCCTGGGAACAATTCTGAGGGGCAGACCTCCAACATTTCCCCAATGAAAATAGGGATGTCCCTATTTATTTAATAATAATATTGGGATGTCCCAATGAAAATAGGGGTGTCCCTATTTATTTAATAATAATAATAATAATAATAATAATAATAGTGTAATATGTTTGTACCCCATCTATCTGGCTAGGTTCCCCCAGCCACTCTGGGCAGCTTCCAACATATATAAAAACAAAACATTAAAACATTTTTAAAAAAAAAAACTTCCTATACCGGGCTGCCTTCAGATGCCTTCTAAAGGTTGTAGATTTACTTATCTTACTGGGCTCAGGAACTGCATAACTCCATACCCTCCAACATTTCTCCAATGAAAATAGGGACGTCCTAAGGAAAAGCAGGATATTCCGGGATCAAATCAGAAACCGGGATGGCATCTATAAGTCTGGGACTGTCCCTGGACAATAGGGACACTTCGAGGGGCTAAGAGAGGAGAGCCACATTTCAGAGATTTCAGGAAAAGATGAAACACACAACAAACATTAGGGAGAATAATATCTATTATTCCCTTTTTACCATTCCATGCGAGACCTCGCTTCAAGGAACCATGAGCACAGCAGAAGGATCCAGGTATCCAAAACCTGTGTGCCATAAAGGGATCTGGAATTTTTCACCCTCTCCCCTGATTCAACAGGTCCATAGGCTGAATCCCATTTCTGCTCAGGGGTTGCTGTCACTGGACATGGATGCATAAACCTAACAGATCAAGGTTGCCAGCTTTTTGAAACAACCTCCGTAGTTGCGCTTTTAACAGCAGCTCACTTAGCACCCAGTACAGCTCATGAAAAAGTTTCGCAGGCGATTTCTGCACATATTCAAGGCACACCTAGGCGGTCTGTTGGTTCTCCCTGGGCAGTTTGTAACCCTAGATGAAGTTGTGTTTGCAGAGGTCCCAGATGCGAAACACTAAATTCTCCACCGTCAGCTCTGCCTGAATCTACCTAGACCATAGCTGTCAACCGTCCCTTATTTGGCGGGAAAGTCCCTTATCCCAGCGCCGTGTCCCGCTGCTGTCCTTTATTGATGATGTCCCTTAAATTTCCCGGGTTTCAAAGGAAGCAGCTCCTCTCCCTCCCTGCTTGCCAGCCAGGGAGGAGGGAGGCTCCAACTGTGTTGCTTGGCTGCGTTGCTCACCTAAAAAGGAGTCTAAGAATGACTGGGGGGTGGAGCTTGCATGCCTTGTGCCGATCAAATCGGCCGCGTTGCCTGGGGACTCGCCTTTGCTCAGCGCTTCCCAGCGGAGAGGTGACGGTGGTTTCCCTTGCTGCATCCCCTTTGCCGGGTTGCTGCGCTGTGGGAACCACCACTTGAGGCTTCGTTGGGCTGCTGGTTGACTAAAATCCCTTATTTTGGCTGCTGATCCCTTATTTTCAAGGCTGCTGGTCCCTTATTTTCAAATCTGTAAGTTGACAGCTATGACCTAGACTGAGCTCCTATACACCAAGTTGGCTTTACTCTTGCTACGAACCAAAAAATCCTTGGCAAAGGATGGGCACATGGGATGCCAAACTAGTAGTGCCCTGGAAAAACCCAAAGACAGGCTCTTTGGAAGGCACAGCAAGGCGGAGACCCCATGTTCCCTTTCAGGAACAAAAGACCTGAAAGCAAGCGGCAGGAGGGAGGGGAATGGTTCTCTATAAGAGTTCAGCCGTCTGCTTGGCGTTCCTTCGCCCTGCAAAGAGGGAACAGCCTGTCCAAGCAGGAGCCAGGCCAAATTTCAGGGAGCCAAAAAGTAGCAGCCTATCAGGAAAAGACTTTCTGTTCTGCTGTCAGATATACCGATAGAACAGCCCCTTTGGAAAGCCAGAGACCAGGAGCAAGCTTTGAAAAGGAGGAACTGTCTCTGAAAAATAAACTGGGCTGATTTTGCTTTGTAATTTATTTGGAACAATCGGAGGGGGGCAGTGCAGTGGATTTTAATAGCCTTCAACTGAAAATGTTTACAGGGCAGTAACGTTTTTATTGCATCTCATGGCCCATAGGAGGCTAGTCACTGTTATTCCCATTTTACAGAAAGATAACCAAGGCTGCACAGCAATCCCACTACAGAGCAGAGGGAAGTCTTCTCCCAGATCTAAATCCAACGACTGAGCCCCAGAAGGACCACTCTGTCTCTGTGCAGAATATGTCCTGGGCCAGCAAGGGTTGCCACAGCCACACAGAATAACTGTCAAAGGCCATTGGCGGGTTTGACAATGTTTTAGGCTGCAGTTCTGAACATGCTGACAAGCCACTAAGTCCCACTGAACTACCTGAGACTTATTTCTGAGTAAGCATAGTTAGGACTGCACTATCAGTACATCTTACTTCCTTTAAAGTTACTCCAAGGCTGGTGGCTGACTGGACCTGATGTGGGAAAACGCATGTGGTTCAATAACAAGAGAGCTGAAATCTGACCTGGACTGAAGCATTGCTTCTGCCGTGGCGCCGTTGCCTTGGGCAAGCTGCAATTATCCAACCTCAGTTTCTCCGTCTGTAACATAGGCGTTTAGGAAGCGTGACTTTCACAGGCTGATCAGCTGGTTTGGAATTTTATTTCCTGCCTACACCTTTGTCCTGGCGATCTTCAGTAAGGTTGCACAAGGGATGTTTTGGGCAATCGGCAGAAACTTGTGCAAGAGCAGTATTAGCTGCATTCAGAGTACTTTGCATGCTCTCAGCTTTCCTGCAAATTAATTAAAACATGCCTTCTAAAAAAGCCTGGGTTTTTAAGCTGAAGAGGAGAAGCAAGCCTTCAGTTTTTAAAAGATCAAATATGCTGAATCTAACCTCCTACTCAGTTTATCCCTATTGTCTGATGCAAGTTCCTGTGGTGGAAAACCCAGCGGCTGATATTCTGTTGCATGGCCTCTCAAATTGGGTTTGATTATAACATCCCAGGCTCGCAGGACTGTTTTGCGATGATGGGGGAAAGTAAAGAACGCTCAGCATGTTAAAACTGCATTTAAAATAACATTCAATCAAAAGGGGACTTTGGTTTTAGCAAGGTTTTGTTTCCTCTGCATTCGCATACCATTTTTGCCTGAGCAGCCGAGGTGCATAAAGGAAGGCCTCTACCCATAACACCCTTTCTTGAAGAACCCTCAGTCCAGATCTCACAGGAAGCTGTTTTATTCTGAGTCAGGCCATGGGTCCATCTACCTTAGTGATGTCTACTCGAGCTGGCAGCAGCACTCCAGGGTTCCAGCCTTTCGTAGCCCTACCTGAAAAATGCCTACGATTGTAAAAAAACAAAACAACCCCAGGCCTTTTTGCATGCAAAGCAGGTACTCTGCTACCACAATCGTGCCTTGTGTGGAAGCAAGGGCTGGGCGGAGCCAGGTTTCCAAGGTTTAGCTCAGTTGCAAATGCTGCCACTGTTGTTTAAATCCGAAGGCCCGCAGGATTTAGAAATGCATAAAGCAACGCGGAAGGTGAAGGGGCCTCTGACCATGTGCAGAGTGCAGCTGCCTCTTCCACCACCATCCCGACTTTCCCATGCTCCTAAACATCTGGGACATTAGGGGCGTGCTTCCACGCCATGCAATAAGGCTTGAAGGTCTGAACCTTCCTGGATTAACCCCTCCCCATCTTCCCTTGCATCTCAGCTGTCAGAAACAGGAGGATCTGGCTAATAAATACCCTCTACTTTAATCTGCTGCAACTCACATAGATCTTCTACAGAGGAAGCAGCAGCAGCAACAACAACAACATGATGAAGAAGAGCCCAGGCTGCCAAGTCTTTAACCACTAGTCCACACAGCCTTCCCAGGCCTCCTATTACATCATTTGATCTAACGGGAGAGCTGGCGTTGTCCCTTTAAGACGGAACTCGTTTCCGACTTCGGTTTGTTTACAACTCCCTCCACACGGCTCAGTCACCGTCATAGGTTAACGCAGCGTGTGTTTCTTTAAACGATGAAGTGTCCTTCCGCCTGCAGGAGCTTCCTACCAACCTCTCTCATTCAGATCCTTTTCGCAACCCGATGACATCTCTTCTCTTTCCAAATACTCGACCTGTTACTGAAATTCCGCGGTCTTAAACCGCTGAGCTGTTACGGAATCCTCTTAATCTTCAAAAATAGCCTCGAACTACTTTTTGGGCAGTACCATTTTTTTTTCCTACGGGGAGAATCACCAATCTTTTTTCCACCATCCCCATTACGAAAGATAAATATTATAAGGTGACATTCCTCTTAATATGTGCTCCGTGAGGACCATTTGAAGCTGTTCGGCCCCCGGGGATTTTAACCCCCGCGTAAACTGATGGTATATTCCATTTCCCACCGCCTCCACCGCCTCCTACTATCCACCTCTAATTGGCTAAGCCACGAATGAAAGGCGTCCAGTATAGCCATTCATGCCTTAGTTGTTTAGCAGTCCTATCAGAGAGCGTCTCGTTCTTCGTCCAACCCTACCCAATGGTTGATTGGCTGACGAACGCCGTCACGCCGCGGTTCTGGGAATCGTAGTCGTTGTGGCTAGAGCGAACTGTGCAATCGATCGGAAAGGGAAACCACAAATCCCGAGATACCTTGGGACAAGGGATCTGAGAGGCGGCTGCGCACTCCGACGTGGGGGCTGGCTCGTTTATATAAGGCGAGGCGGCGAGCGGGGAGTAGCAGTTGAGAGCAGAAGGCGCTCGAGTAAGGGAGGAAAGAGGCCAGGGGAGGGGCGGGGCCAACTGCGAGGGGGTGGGTGTTCGAACGTTGGGTGTGCGTGGAGAAGTTAACCCCTTCCCGGCTGACTTCGCAATTTGCTGTCTAAGGTGGAGCTCTCTTTTAACCCTTTCGATGCCGTGCTGGGATAGTTTTTTTAATTGTTGAAAGCTTGGGCCGGATTTTCTTCTTCTCCTCGAGCTGATTACTTGGATCTGAACTGGTGAGAGGAAGGAATAACACTTGGCATCGGGACAGCTCTTAACTCCTGCGGTGCTGGAACTGGATCCCCTTTAACCCGTAAGTGCCTGGACTGAGACAGTTTAACTCTTCGTTGCCTGCAGCTTAACCCCCCAGTTTCCTTTTTCATCTCTAGGATTTTGTCCCCCCCCCCCCCAACTTATTATAATCGTTTGCAAGTTGCTCTCAAGGGGGCATAGTTATTCTTGTTGCCTTGGGTCCTGTGCTAGCTCATATATCTCTCCACCCCCAACTTTTGTGTTTCCAGATGTGAAGAGTTGCCATGCAGCTGTTGATGTGAAGAGACAGGGTGCTAGCTGGTGGGGAGAACTGGTTCTTCAGCCCCTGGCCGACACTGCGAGGGTAATTCAGGCCTAAAGGCCTTCGGAGGACAAGACTGCTGCTGATCTCCTTCTGCAAGGGTTAACAGTGGCAACTTGTGAGATCCCGATCTGAAGTGGCCCGAGAGGACTGCAAGGGTTTATAAATGAAGGCCAGCTCGTGAAGGGTTAAGGGCCTTTGTTTCCTGCGAACTTTAAAAGCTGGCCGCCGCCACAACAGCAGGACCTAAAGAGTTAAAGACAGTTGCAGGTTTGAAGGAGGAAGAGGAGGGAACCAGCCCCTTTGGACTGAGAACGACAGCACCCGAAATCCAAATCTTGGCTTGCCAACAATGGCTGACGCTGCCCTCTCTGCCAGCCAGCAGCAACCCAATGGCAAAACTTCTCCCTTCTCCCCCTGCAGGGATGCCAATAGTGGAGAGGGGCCCTTTTTGGTGTCTCCACCCGCCAGCCGAGAAGTGCTCCAAGGAGAAGCGATGGACGGTAGGTGGCAGCCGAGAGAGACCAAGCAGCAGGATGGCAGCCCCATGAGCGGAGGCGAAGAAGGTGATGCAGAACATGTGGTTCCTCCGGTTGGGAGAAGTTTGGGTGCCCCAGAGGGAGCCGTCGGCGGTGAGGTTGAGGACCAGAACTGTGGCGCACCTGCGGACGTCCAAAAGCCATGTGATGGAGAGCAGCTCGGCTTGCAGTGCCAAGGCTATTCCGGGCCTGTTGGCCAGAGGTTCAGGCCCCAAGCTGAAGGCGAGGAGGAAGAGAAGCTGGTCAAGAAGAAGCACAGGAGACGTCCTTCAAAGAAGAAGAGGCATTGGAAACCTTACTACAAGCTCAGCTGGGAGGAGAAGAAGAAGTTTGATGAGAAGCAGAGCCAACGGGCCTCCAGGCTGCGGGCAGAGATGTTCGCCAAGGGGCAGCCCGTTGCCCCGTACAACACCACGCAGTTCTTGATGGAGGACCACGACCAGGAAGAACCAGACTTGAAGACCGGCCTGTTCCCCAAGAAGACTGCCGCCAAGTCAGAGGACACCAGCGAGGAAGACTTCTTCGTGGAGGAGGAAGGCGGCGGCAGCGACGGGATGGGAGGCGACGGCAGCGAGTTTCTCCAGAAGGACTTCTCGGAGACCTACGAGAAGTACCACGTCGAAAGCCTCCAGAACATGAGCAAGCAGGAGTTGATCACAGAGTACCTGGAGCTGGAGAAGTGTCTCTCCAGGATGGAGGAAGAGAACAACCGCCTGCGGATGGAGAACAAGAAATTCTTGGGGGACTCTACGGAAGACCCCCGGGTAAGTCAGCTAGAGGAGGAACTGGGCAGGTTGAGAGCTGAGAACCAAAAACTCTTGAAAGAGAACGAACTCAGCAGACAACAAGAGAAAGCTTTTCCCAAATTGGGAGAGTGATGGAACAGGGGAGATTTTTTTTCCCTAAGGACTTGTGGAATGGGACAGAAACCCCCAACCCCCCCCCCCCAAATCAGAATGCAAGAAGTTATTTCCATTTTGTGGGTGCGTGTGTGTGTGTATGTATATACATATATATATAGATTATGAATATATATATATATATATATATATATGACAATGGACCTTTTCTTTTTTTGGTGATTTAATCAGAATAAATTCAAAACCTCATACTGTTTTTGAAGATAGCTCTAATGTAGTGTGTGCTCTTTCTTTAAATTATGTATAATCAAAGGGGTCTCTGAGTGGGGTTCTTTTAAAAAAAAACAAAAACGGAACAATATCCAGCATTCATGGGAGGACTTTTTTTTTTTTTTTTTTGCAAAACTGCATCTGACTTGTTAAAACTATTATTTTGAGTGTCTTCTAAAGGGAAGACTAGTTGTGGGTGGAGGGAGAAGTGGCGAGGAGTTGTAAAAGGAAAACACAGTCACATTGTGACAAAAAGATATACAGATTCATGCTAAGAGTTCTAATAAACTGAAGGACATGTCAGCGTAATGATTCTGGTGTGGTTTCTAGAAAAATAATTCAAGATATTCTCCCTAGGTGGAGAATATTGTGAATCATTTTTCCAGGTGACATTTGGATGCCATTATTTAAAGTTTTAATGGGAAATTAATTGGGACAGGCTGCTTTAAGCCATTGTTTTGGCTTCCTAATATAGAAGACACATTAGTTGTTAGATGACCCTTAACTTGTCCATAGTACCTTACAATTGTTTCCTTTACCATATGTGCTGTCAAAGCAAACTGTTTCTCGCTTGTTTGGTTGGGTTACTATTGTTCCAATTTTTACAGTTGGAGAACAGAGGTTTGGGGTAAGGGGAGGTGTGATTTGTCCAAGGCAATATAGAAGAAGTCCAGGATAGGAGGTGGAGCTCAGATTTGGCTGCCTGAACCAAATATTGAATCAAATGTTGGAAGTGTTTATTATGAATATTGTTTATGGAGATACAGCCAACATCCTGCCATTTTAACAGTAGTCATGGCATTATGAGCTGGAAGGAATGACATGTCGCCTTTTTAAAAAGGTTAAATAGCCCATTCTGGGCTAAATCAAAAGCAGAAGATCACGCCTGTTTCTGGGGCCCGAGAGATCATAGGAGAGTTTGGGTGTGGTCAGAGACGTTTCATTACAGAAGTGTTTTGGTTTGCTTTTCATGCTCAGCCACAAAAGGATTTTCCCCTCGGGCCAGGATTTGTGTGCATGCTCAGTTGTTTGCTCGCACTTGCTCATGTAAGTTGGCTCACTTGCTTGAGCCAGCTGCACAGTGCAGTTAAGCCTATGGGCAGTAACTTGATTGCTGGGTGTCCTGTTTGTTCCTCTCTCACCCATAGCTAGAGGGTTGCATGCGGCCGATGTGATTGTACGCACACTTGCTTGGGGAGTGCGAGTTGGGTGGAATTTGATAAACACAGGGAGGATGCAAAGTCCCTACTGTGGTTGTGACTATGTCAAGAAGTGGTCGGGATTACAGTGGTACCTCGGGTTACATACGATTCAGGTTACAGACGCTTCAGGTTACAGACTCCACTAACCCAGAAATAGTACCTCGGGTTAAGAACTTTGCTTCAGGATGAGAACAGAAATTGTGCGGCAGTGGCAGCAGGAGGCCCCATTAGCTAAAGTGGTGCTTCAGCTTAAGAACAGTTTCAGGTTAAGAACGGATCTCCAGAATGAATTAAGTACTTAACCCAAGGTACCACTGTATTTAGTTCTCCCATTTTATGCCAACACTGCTTTTCCAAAATGGGATTATTGCGTAGTAATTATTTCAATATAAAATGCATCTTGTTTTTGCAAGACTGTTCTGTTCTACTCCAATGCCAGTGGACTCCAGATCCCATTTGCTCCAGACAACTTGGCAAATGGTTGAGGATGATGAGGATTTAACCATCAAAACCCGGGAGGGCTACAGGTTCTGCTTCGTTCTGGCCCTTGGTATGGTAGACATAAACCTGGCACGGACAAAACCCTGTTTAGTTTCCATACCACAGTTGGACTGCTCTTCAGAATTGTGGCCCTTCCTTCCTGTATGTGAATTCTCACTCCCCTTGATTCTGGAAAGATAACCATACTTCTGGATTGCATCTGCGCCTGTTTGTTGACTCCAGATATCTCAGTTTGTAAACCCATAAACACTGGGAAGGGCACTGGTGAGATCAGACTCGAGGCTTTT